AGTTTTATTAAGTAAGGACTTGTGTCGTTAAGTTTCGTCGGAACGAAGTTACGGAAAGTTAATTAACAAACGGAGACGTAACACTATTTTCAATACTTTTCGAATTCATATATAGAAAAAAAGTTGTTTCTTGTAGCGTTTGTAATTCTTCGCTCACTCATTGCATCTTCTCTTCCAAAGCTTATAAAACTGTTGAAGTTTCTTTTATTTCACTTTAATAATAGATTTACTTACATGCTGAAGTTAGTCCCCATCCAATCACAGTAGCGGTTGTTCCAGTGTAGGAGAGGTGGCTCACTGGAAGACACACAGTGTTTACTGTTTCATCTAGTGAAAGTTCTTCATTAAGCCTAATAAGTGCTATATCATTCGTGAAAAGATCTTTCTTGTACTGAGGATGTGCAATCACGGCACTAGGAGTTAGCATGTTGTTGATTTGTATTGACATGACATCAACGTTATTTTCTCCTACAGATATGCTGACATCTCCAGGACTCACTGTGACTCCGTTATGCCTGTATTAGATTTAGGTATTAAGGTTTTAAGACAGAGGGTAACTTAACTGATTATTGGTAAATAAGGAACAAAAATAAAACAAACTAATTTTTAAGTATAGGTACTAGCCAAGAGCAGTTTTCGAGGTCAACAATTCAAATTAAAAACAAATCACGAAATAAACTTTCTAATATATGTACAACACTGGCATCAATATCTTCCTTAATAATGTATATGTACAACACTGGCATCAATATCTTCCTTAATAATGTATATGTAACACTGGCATCAACATATTCCTTAATAATATATAAGCAACATTAGCATCAATGTCTTCTTTAATAATATACGTGCAACATTGGCACCAGTGCCTTTTTTAATATTATATGTCGAACATTGGCAACAGTATCTTCCTTTAATACATGTGCAACACTGGCATCAGTGTCTTCCTTAATAATACATGTGCAACACTGGCATCAGTGTCTTCCTTAATAATACATGTGCAACACTGGCATAAGTATCTTCCTTAATAATACATGTGCAACACTGGCATCAGCGTCTTCCTTGATAAATTTATTTTCTCAAACATCAGTTTAGGGGTTTCATTCATACCCAAACTTGACAAAACGTTAAAGAAGAAAGAATCAAAAATAAAATTATTTAAGTCATACACCATCATGTTGTCCAAATTACACCAAAATAGAATTCAGTAAATGATAATTGTTAATACAGAGGAAAACAGTTACATCATACTCCAACGTTTTCCATTTTATTGAAGTTGTACCAAAATACAAAATACTAAAACTTAGTGATATAAAACAGTTTACTGCTGTAAATGTCATGGTATGAACAGTAAAGTAAGACAGTGTAGTATTATAAACATCTATTCTTACCGTGATGTTACACAATTTACACTTAAAGTAAAGTAAACAGTTTACTGCTGTCAATATTTACACTTACCGAGAAGTTACACAGTGTGCTGCTGTCAAAACGTATACCGAACTTATGAGAGATCCCCCACACAAACTGGTGACTTGGTTATGTTGTATGAGAAGAAGAACCTATGTGATTAATAACGTTTCAATTATTATTATTACATTAATTATAAAGTATTGTCGCATTAGTTACACCATAACGTTTCAGTTATTACATGCCGATGTTACATTAATACTATAGAAACATCACATTGATTATAAATTATTCTTGATTGAATTCCATAATAACATCATATTATTACACGCTTATGTTACACTAATACCATATAAATGCCAAATTAATTGTAAAGTAATTCTACATTAACGTCAGATTAAGAACACGCTAATGTTACATCAGTGTTATATTATATTTGCAGTAAAATTACATACATTACTTATATGAATTTGGTAACTAATTAATTTGAACACTATGTTACGTATCTGCTTGTTTGATAATTTCCCGTAAAAATTCTATCCGAGAAACTTCAGCGATACAAATCCTTTCTTAATTAAAACTAGTTTATTCTTTCTCGTTACAAACTTTGTAATACACTTAATATCCACAGTCACTTTAACTTAAACACACGCTATAATTCACAACGATTCACGCATTTTAGTTATGGTCACTACCATTCGCTTGACTCAATTATCTGTCTCTATATCTCTCTATCTACTATTATATCTCCGCTTTATTTGCCGGGCTTATATACTACAATAAAGGGCGCCTAGAAAAGACTAGAGTTGCCAGGAAAACTGAAGATCCTTCGAGAATCTCATTACGTGTTACCAATGTCACGTGACTTCCACTGTCATAACAACTATTTTTGTAAAAGAATCCGCTAAATATAGTAATCGTTATAAAACTGGCGTGTGAAGTGCGATTATTTTATTGAAAATATACAGAATTCAGAGTGAGCCTCAAGATGGTAAAACGTTCTCGAAATTAGAATCAAAATTTGGTGGAAATGATAAAACAGCGGATACAAGTTTAGGAAGAAACTTATAGAAGTAGGAAATGAGATCAATAAGAGAGAAAAAAGGATTTTCAGGGTAAAATGAGAAGAAGTAAAATAAAATGAGAAACAATCCAAGTTCATTGATAGTAAGATCAAGAAGCCAACAGAAAATATAACAACCAGATCCAAGAAGTGCAGAAGTCCAGGCTCCATAAACTTCAGGAGTACAACTTGATCATCATGGATATTCCTGGATGGAAATACTGATGGATCTTCCTGAAGGACTTGTATTGCTGAAGAATGAAAACAGTTAGCAAAGAAAAAGATAATAAAGACAGCCAACCTAGACAGAAGTATACAAGATGAGACATCAGCAGGTGATGAAGAACTAGATAGTTCAACAATCAAAAAAAGGTACGAGTATTGAGCCAATTATTCAGTAGATCAGAATTTTTATCAAACAGTCTTTAAGGCAGACAGTGGCTGACTACAGTCCAAAAAGAAAAATGCACCGTAAAATTAATTATGTCTACAAGAAGACTTGTTACATCGGAAATGAGAAGATACAAGAGGACCGAAATTATGACTACAGTTGATAGTTCAACAGTCATTACAGTCAAAATACGTCCATCACCTCTACAACCTTCAAAAAGTTAGACACTTAGGTATTAAGCAGACATTGGAGAGATTAAGAAAATGTTTTTACTGATTTGGAAGCCAGAGATTGGCGAAAATTGTTTAAACTGTACTGTGAATGAAAACTTCCACATAGTAAACAATATTAACAAATATAATAGTATTGTTTTGGAGCATCACGTGATGTAGTTGCAGCAATGTGTTTGATTCTCTGCTATAAAGTAACAGTGACAATAAATACAACATGATTGTAATGATTTCCACAAAAGCTTAAGGTTGTTCATAACCAGGGAAATTCGTCAATGAATTTGTTTCGAGATTTAAGTTTCCTATGGGACTTTACTCAGATTAGGGACGGCATTTTGAATCAGCCTAGTTTGCTGAGGTATATCAAATCTATGGAACATAAAAGACCAGAACCGCAGCCTTTCATCTATCATCATTGGGATGGCCGAGAGGTACAATTATACATTCTGAAATCAATTACCTATTTATGTGGCTGAACATAAGAAATTCTTCCACCGCTACCTATGAGTTATCTAATGGAAATGAAAATTTTCAAAACGATTTGGTGACAGGACAGTTAGAACAAATAAGGGAAAAAAAAGAGTATTCTATTTTTGATTTAAATTTAAATTCACAAGTTTAATTAATAACTGTAACGTCTATATTTATGAATATTAATGTTTTAATATCGATAGTTATCGCTATTAAAGGTTTTAATGACTACAGTTTTTGACTATTAATCTTGTAATGTCTGTAGTTATGAATATTAATGTTGTAATGTCTGTAGTTATGAATATTAATGTTGTAATGTCTGTAGTTATGAATATTAATGTTGTAATATCTGTAGTTATGAATATTAATGTTGTAATATTGTTACGACAGCGGTAGTCACGTGACGCTGGTAACACATCATGATATTCTAGAATGATTGGGGAACATCACGAATAATCCAGTGTGTGCTAGGCGCCCTCTATTCCTGTATATAAGTGCGCCGGATAACGTGAGACAAATTAATCGGAATTGAATTGCAGACAGGCAGAGATAAAGACGGACAATTGAGTCAAGCGTGGTAGTGACCGTAAGTAAGTGCGTGAATCATTGTGAATTATACCGTGTGTTTAAAGTGACTGTGGAAATTAAGTGTATTGCAAAGTTGTATTGAGAAAAAACAACACTAGTTTTATTTAAGAAAGGACTTGTATCTCTGAAGTTCCTCGGGAAGAATTTATACCGGGAAATTAACAAACAAACACAGAGGCGTAACAAACTGGTGTCAGAGAGTGGGACAAAAAAAGATGGAAACGAGAAGTGGCAAATCAAACTACA